TTTTTCTAAGTTTTTCAAGTTAAAACTGTTCAGCAATGTGATAAATGCATATCATATGTTGACATGAAGGAAGCTCGATTCAGTTAAATCTGCTGTAAGGGCAAGCCGTTTGACTGTTGGAGTCTTTTCTTTGTTTTGTTATTCTTGGCATTTGAATATTATTTCTAACGCATTAATATATCAATTATACAGAACCCTGACAATTGTCCAAATAAAAAATTGAAGTAGACAAAATTGACGTGAAGCCTTGCTTAAGTAATTTATAACTGTCACCCAAGAGGATACCTGTTCTCTGGGGTTCTACCTTATAACACTGAAATATACCGGCCTCTAATCACCAACATAATATATCTTTGTATTTTACTAGGATATGATTGTAAAGTCGAAGTGAACTTTAGATAAGGTATCAGAATGTATCATAAAGATTGATTATGAGATAGAGACTGACAAATTATAATGTCGGAACACTGTTTTTATAAAGGTATCAGCCGTATAATGCTTTAACACAGAATAAAATATATTAGTTCTGTATCTGTTTAAGTTAAAGTTCAATATATATGCTAATTACAGATCTCATTACCGATGTTTTACTGTATTCTTAATATCTGACTTATTATAGGGTTTAAGTTATTGTGATAATTCAATTTTAGGGGTCTTGTTGTAACCGTAATACCATCACTAAAACAGTAACACATGCTCAACAACTTATGTTTGTTTACGTGAACATCATTAAATCAATACCATACGCACTAAAGTTCATACTGTCATACTGTTAAAGCTGTAACTTACACATAATAAGCCAAAATTCCCTATTTTATTACGTAAACACTTCGCATATAGTTATGATTTCACCTGTTTCCTTTTCCTTTTTTCCGAGATAAATTAGACAAATCAAAAGTATATGTTATTACAGGTATGAAATCATTTCAAAGGAGTTCAATCCGTAATCTTATAATAACAATGATAAAAAATACAACATTTGATAAAGCGCCTTTCTAATGTATCTAGCTAACACAGGCCACTCTAAAGCGTTTTACAGTACATATATATATACAATTAGCATTTACATTTATCAATACAATTATTGACTTAAAACTAAATGACGAAAGGTTGATATGTTGTTACTGTTTATTTTAAGATATTGTCGCCACCATATTATGCATAGACTGTCATAACAATTTACTTTGTAAAAATGTCAAAATACATGTAACAAATAAGATAATATCTAAGAATATACTTTCGCAATGTAAGAGAAAATCTCTGGCAATACACATTAACTGTCAAAAACATAACAGTTAACGTTTTACCTGTGTTTATTCATATGTTTAATAAAATGTGAGCTGTGTAAGATTAAATGAGTCTTTACTTCCACAAAATGATGGTAAAATGTGACAGAACGTGTAAGCTGTCAAATGACATTTATAAAGTATTCCTTCCTATGATGTTTGGATGATTTTTATTCTCACACGATGAGAAATATGGAAACACATGCCCAGAGAAGGGTATTTAAAGACAGCAAATCGTCGATATTTCTGAATGTAAGATTGAAGGATTTGGATAGGTTTTTGTTACCAGTTCCGATAATCTTGTCAATAAAAACAACCCTAACAAAAACAAGTCAGCAAGCAGAAGGACATATTTTATTTTCAAAAAACAATGTTCTTGTCTGGTGGGAATTCGACTGACGAATTCAATCAACAAAGATATTGTCTTAGAATTTCGCCCTCGCTATGTTTCATTTTGATCTTTGTTGTGCTTTTCATAAAAAGACTTCAAAATAATTTACTACATAACGTTTAAATTACCGTACGCAAGAATAAATCTCAAAATAGGAGAACGAATGTTTAACTTCAGTTTGTTTTGAGGTATAATAGTGTAAATAAGAGAAAAGTAAGAAAATAAAATTAATTGAAGAAACGTTTTTGTGCAGAGGAGGAACTAGATGGATAAACATTTGTTTGGAATTCTTTGAAGTTCACAGTCCACTGATTGTACCTCTAGAGTACATGAGAGTCTTACTGATTCCTTTATCTCGATTCAGAAGTGACTGGCCGATTTTGTTGCCATTTCGTACAATACTTGACATTTAATTGTACATACGTTTTACATGTCACTTATCTGACAAAGGTGACAACGGTAACATACATATCGTTTTAGTCGTCGAAACGTCACATTCAATAATCAAATTCCACGCTGCACTTTTGTGGTTCAGTATTTAAGTATGAAATATGAAAATAGAATAGATTAAAATCAAACATTCTATAAAATGTATTATTATAAGAAAGCAATTTGAAGTCGGATTGATCAGAATTCGCTATAAACAGCAGAATAATAAACATTTATTACTTTACTAGCTTAGTGGTGATGGAACCTTTTTAAGACCTTTGGCTGGATCTATTTTCCTCTGTCTTCATCCTCGGAAAACGGATCCGGTATCATGACCGATAAAGGTGTTATCAACCCGCATAGTCTCGTAGTAAATAATATACTGCTTTCAACCAGTTTTTATTTGATGTATTTAATTTAGTTTCATTAATATATTGCGTACGTAATTGTGCTATTAATAGATTTATTGAACGTCTGCGCTGGTGGCTTAATTAACACAGTAATCAGCATAAAGTGGAGTAGGAGTTATCGTTCTTGTATCATACATACGTCAATTGAGTGTTTTGACTAATCTTTGTTGGCTGTGATAGCTTGGTAGAGTAAATTGACATACGTATATACGAATACTTTACAAAACTGAACTGTCATTTTTCACATTTTGTAAAAAACATTTATTTGGGCCATTCTCTTAAAGTAAACAGTTAAAGCTATAGTTTTGTCACTAAATGTGGAGAAAGTATCTCTAAGGAAAAGGACATTTTATTTTTTTCAAAAACTTTTTTATTTTTTTTGTCATAAATGTCACTTACACGTTAATAATGTTTCAAAACTTTCAAAAGATGAATTTATATATGTAAGCTGTTTATGTAAAATGATAGGGAATGTTAAACAATGATGTGTAAATGATAGCTGTTTACGGATGTATCTAGAGCATGTGATACGTATTACTTTAGTGATGTTTAAGAAATTATTATTTGTGGTGCCTGTAGTACTGTTCCTGTAAAGTTTAAAAATATTATAATTTGTAGAAACAATAATATTATTTTATTGATGTTTGAGAACTATCGTTTTAAGTGCAGAAAATATTGTTTAAGTAATGCCTGTAGGAAGTCAGCCTTTCATTGTATGTGAACAAGTCAAGTCAAAGATTGAAAGTTTCGTACGGAAACAGCTATATTTCCACATGCAATTACATATCCCCATTATATTTCTGTCATGTTATACCCCAATTATTAGGAAGTTCAGGTGCACTGGTAAATACTTTATTTTATACCAATAGGGATGCTTTCGCTAGAAAACACCCGGAGGGGAACTTCCGCTTTTTTATAAGTTGAAGTTTATAATAATAATGAAATTAAAGTAATGTAAAACATAATAACGGCAATAAAGTGAACAGTCGAACAAAACTGTCCAACAGCTCCTGGAATATTAATATATCTGCTCGTGCTCTCATTGTTGATGCATGTTTAAGTACATGTTATCATGATTTGTCACTTATATCATTGGAATACTCCATTCCACCTTATTGATAAACATCGCTTTATTCGTTATTCAATTCATTCAAACAGAAAAGGTGCGGAAATTATTTCGATTGATTTTCAACAATACTTTTTTCTGTGTCGTATTTTGAAGAATAGTTACATGTAGGTATAGTCATAGTAAGATGATACCCGTTTGATTGATACTTGTAGATTACTTTAGCAGTATCTACTTAGGCTAAACACCCCTACAGTATCCTAAAGCATCTTATCGAAAAACAGTGATTTAATAAAAATAAAAAAAAACTCTTGCAGAATTTGAATTTTAACTCCGCTCCTTCTTCTTAAGGGATATCACGACAACCAACACTGATATGAAGCCCCCATTTTAACACTTAGTTTTTATTTTTCTTCCTTTCTCACTTCCCTATTTTGTCTCTTTTGTTGTGACCCTAGATGTTGTGAGGACGTTCACGCTACACAAACAAAGACTTAACATCATGTATATGTGGTAAACTGTTCTATTGTAGTGATAATTATACACAATTTTCAGTATATGTATATATGTAGTATAGTAGATAATAAATAAATAAGTCATTGCGAAGGAAAATATAGAATAGAAACGTATTTTTTCAGATCGTCCGCTATGTAGTATAGTATAGTAATTTTAACGACCTAGTTACCATTAATGGGTACACATTGTATAAACATGATACGCTAATTTGCGACACACTATATATTCCTGTAATGGTTTATTGTATAACATAATTTAAATGTCTACTCTTTCGAAGTACTTTTTGCTATAGATATCTATTTTGTTTTCTCTTCCAATATATATATATTTTCTACTTATGATTTGAAAGCTAACTATCAAAATCCAAAGAATATACTCCGACAAAAGTCCAAATTCTTCCCATTACAGCGGATTAAAATGAATCTAGCTTCCTGTGTACTCAAATATGAATTATCACATTTCGTAATAGCGTAATATGTAAAACTCAGTAAGAATAATTTAACAGGTCAGTTAAATTACATACAATATATTACGTCAAACGATCAGCACATTGCCAACACTTCCTCTTAGACAGTCTACAGGTCGTATGATATCTGCCAAACATTAAGGAGGAACAAGGGAAGCTTTATTCAATCCCGATGGTGGTTTTACTTGGTAAACGTTGGGCATTTAAAAAAGTACTTTAAGGTACAAAGGTCAAACCTTGTTATAGAACTGACCAGTAACATAAGGTAATCTGCATCACCCGGAAATGACAAATCAAACCGAAAATAATTCCCCATTGGTAGGGAATTTGGTTATATTCATTTCAACGAATTATAGTTATTAATAAAAAGTGATCACGGCTTATATTAATCCTTAACGAATAATGGATTGATATTGTATAAATACTGACCGCTTCTGGAGTAGAGTTCATTACGAATTTCTTATTTCATCTGAGACTTTTTAATGACGTTAACATTTCTGCGTACAAACGGTATAAACATGGTATGCTAATTTATCTATTACTAAATATTTCTGTAACATGTAATCTGTAGTTTGTGCTAATTCATTGCAATGACAGTAACACAATGTATATGGCTACTCCCTGAAAGTACTATTTGTTTAATACATATCCATTTTTTCCTCTTGCAGATGAATACGAAGGCGGCTGTACTTTTGGGTTTCGTCACACTTCAATGCATCACGACCTATATTGCAGGACAATATACATGCGATTCACAAACAACCCCACCCATATTTACTAAACCGTTTGAAGATTTGAGGAATGAAACAATGGCAATGATAAGTCCAGAACATAGAACGTCTACAACAGAAGGTGAAGTGACGAGAACGGCTGTACTATTAGATCCACGAGGATCAGCGTTTATAGAAGATCGTATCAGGGCCGTGTGTCCGTGGAGTTACGTACGGAATGAGGATCTTGACAGGATACCTCGGGTTATTTTTGAAGCAAAGTGCATTCACTCAAGATGCCATGGATGTCATGCAGATCGTGATGCGTCTCCATTGAGGAGACCAATGTGTTCCGAAGTGCACTACTATGCTATGGTTATGCGTAAAATGGGATGTGACGAAACTGGAAGAGATCAATACGAGAGGGTATTACAAAAGATAAGTGCAGGTTGTACTTGTTTGAGGGCTGCGGGGTCGACAATGATCCATCCTGTAAACGGATATCCGGGAGGAGAACGTACAAATCCGTAACCTGTATATAAACGGGTGTAACTAGTAATATTGATTAGTTCAAATGATATTGATAATCACACTAAACAAACGACGGTATTGCTTTACCATATAACATATGCAGTATTAGCCCGAGGGGTTTTATTTCAGCTGGGGATTTTCATTTGCTTACTGTAAACGTGATAAACACAGATGTATGATGATTTTTTCTTCAAATATGTTATTCGTATCATCCACTCCATTTATATATGTTGAGTGACCGTTTACATTTACTGTTTTTAAATATACGTGCTACTTAGTTTTTAATTGTATTTATTTTACACAATAAGTCACCATTTACATGATTTGGCCTTGTCTTTTAGTGATGTACATGAATGCAATTTCCATTGTGTGATCTTCTTTGATATTTTAATGTTAAGAAATTTTAATGCTTTTGCATTATTTCCTGCCATCAATTAAGTACCGAACGGCATTATATCATAGTGCGAGAAAGTTGGCTTCAAACAATTAAAACATGCTGCCATGTTTCTTTGTTTGAAAAATGGTGTGAATTTGTATTTATTTAATTATATTTGAAGATGAAAAAAAAAAGAAATTGGACTTCATGATTTAATGTGTGTGATGAAATTTGTCGTTTACATTGACTCCTGTATCTCATTGTATTTGTAACAATCTATACCGCACACGGGTGAGTGTATTTTTCAGATACTTTTATGAGGTATGTAGAAACGTCTTTTGATTGTTGACAATAACTTATTTATGCTGATTATAATGTATAACAGTTTTAAATGTGTAAAGTGTGAATAAAGAACCATCCCAGCATTCATTCTCATGTGTTGCTCTTGACTTTTTGTGTGAGGACAAATCACAACCATCGAATTGTATTATCAAGTTATCTAGAGATTAATGATATCTCGCCTTTTGGCTTCCGTCACTCGTCTTGGGTTTAATTTGTTTACATTTTTTAAGGTCGAGTTGGATATTCAAACATTTCCTCTTTTGTAGTAAATGTTCGTTTTTTTCAGTAAATAAGCATATCCCTGAGGGGTGATTACACTCTATGATATGGCTATGCATTGTTTCCATGTAGTTCTATAGTGCCATTTCTTCACAATTCTACGCGATTACTTTGATTAAGGTTTAAAACAACACGGCCTATAATACATTCAGCAAAACCTTTTTCATATCTTTAAACAAACCATTATGCTAAATATTATTCTGATAGCTGACGTTACTGACTCGGCAGATTGTGGTGTAGTTAGTTGCTTTCATAGCTTTGGAGTGGAGACATCGGTCGTTAGCACTCATTGCCTGGCAAAGAAAACAGACGTTTTCGGAAGCTCGCAAAAACAATTCAAATTACTGATTTTGTTCAAAGCAAACTTAGAATTTAATAAAAGGCTATCTGTAAAATAGCCCGTGGAGTAACTAATCTGCTCGTGCTCTCATTGTTGATGGATGTTTTAGTACATGTAATCATGCTTTGTCCTCATATCATTGGAATACTCCATTCCACCTTATTGAAAACTATCCATTGATTCATTATTCAATCCGTTTCTGACGTGTATTTTGAGGTGTAATTAGGTCTAGCCAAAGTAAACTGGTACCCTTTAGATTGATACTAGCAGTATTTATTTAGACTAAACACCCCTGCAGTATCAAACAACATTTTATCGAAAACATTGTTTTTTTTTTTATTTATTTCAGTGCCTTCTTCTTAAGAAACATCATAATAACTAAAATTGATCTGAAGCCTCCCGATGCACCTGTCTTCATGTGACATTAAGTGTAGTGAGAATATTCAACCCCACACAAACAAACTTAGACTTACCATCATGTATATGTGGCAAACTGTTCTATTGTAATGATCCGTATACACAATTGCCAGTATTTATATACATGTAGTGTGGACAACGATGCTGTCAGTGTAAATTCTACCTTCAGCTAACGCTAGCCTGGGGGCGTATTGTTTTCAAAATATTTTATCTATATCCTATTATGTTTCTAATATTGTGTTCATGTTATGTTATTGTTTTGTGGATATTTTTCTGTGTTTCGATAAAGGAGCGGATTGCTCCGAAAATATTACAACATCATACAATGTATTGTCCTCACGGTAAGAATTTCTTCCTTGCGACATATACAATTCTAAGTAATTCGTTTCCTACAAATAAACGTTTGCAAAGATCCGGTGTTATTCGGGAAGCAACCGTTAATATTACTTCTTTGACCTATTCATGGTGTATAGTATAGTAATTTTTAACGACCTATGAAGTTACCATTAATGGGTACACATTGTATAAACATGATACGCTAATTTGCCACACACTATATATTCCTGTAATGGTTTATTGTATAATATAATTTAAATGTCTACTCTCCACAAGTGCTTTTTGCTTAATACATGTATATTCATATTTTTCTTTTGCAATATATATATTTTTCTACTTATGTGTTGCAAGCGTTAAGTACTTATTTTTGAAATAATGTTTAAATGCCAACTATAACTATCAAAGTCCAAAGAAAATACCCCGACAAAAGCCCAACGTCAATTACAGCGGAATAATTGAATCTCGCCTCATGTGAACTCAAAATATGAATTATCACATTACGTAACAGCTTAATATGTAAAACTCAATAAGGAGAATTTAACAGGTCAGTTCAATTAAAATATATTACGTCAAACAATCGGTATATTACCAACACTACCTCCTCGACATGTCAACACGTCGTAGGATATCTGCCAAACAATGAGGAGAAACAAGGGGGGATTTATTAATCCCGATGGTAGTTTTACTTGGTAAACGTGGGGCATTTAAAAATAACTTCTAAGGTACAAAGGTCAAACCTTGTTACAGAACTGACCAGTAACATAGGGTAATCTGCATCACCCGGAAATGATATTGTGTAAATACTGACCGCTTCTGGTGTAGAGTTCAGTTCGAATGGCTTATTTCACCTGTAACGTTTTTATGACGTTAACATTTCTGGGTACACACGGTATCAACATGGTATGTCAATTTATCCCATACTAAATATTTCTGTAACATGTAATCTGTAGTTTGTGCTAATTCATTGCAATGACAGTAACACAATGTATATGGCTACTCCCTGAAAGTACTATTTGTTTAATACATATCCATTTTTTCCTCTTGCAGATGAATACGAAGGCGGCTGTACTTTTGGGTTTCGTCACACTTCAATGCATCACGACCTATATCGCAGGACAATATACATGCGATTCACAAACAACCCCACCCATATTTACTAAACCGTTTGAAGATTTGAGGAATGAAACAATGGCAATGATAAGTCCAGACTATAGAACGTCTACAACAGAAGGTGAAGTGATCAGGGCCGTGTGTCCATGGAGCTACGTACGGAATGAGGATCTCGACAGGATACCTCGAGTTATTTTGAAGCGAATTGCATTCACTCAAGATGCCATGGATGTCATGCAAATCGTGATGCGTCTCCATTGAGGAGACTAATGTGTTCCGAAGTACATTACTATGCTAGCGTTATGACGAAACTGGAAGAGATCAATACGAGTGGGTCGTACAAAAGATAAGTGCAGGTTGTACTTGTTTGAGGGCTGCGGGGTCGACAATAATATATCCTGTAAACCGATATGCGGAAGGAGAACGTACAAACCCGTAAACTCTATGCAAACGGGTGTAACTATTAGCATTGATTAATATAAATGATATTGATAATCACACTAAACAAACGACGGTATTACTCAACCATATAACGTATACAGTATTTTCCCACGGAGATTCATTTTTTCTGGGGATTTTCATTTGCTAACCGTAAACGTGATAAGCAAAGATGTATGATGAATTTACTTCAAATGTGTTTACGTGTAATCCACTGTATTTATGTATGTTGAAGGACCGTTTACATACACTGTTTTCAAACATACGTGCTACATATTATTTAAATTTATTTATTGAACACAATCAGTCATCATTTACATGATTTGACACTGTTTTTCATTGATGTTTTCACTGTGTGATCTTTTTTGACATTTTAATTTGACTGCTTTTGCATTATTTCCTGTCATCAATTAAGTACCGAACGGCATTATATCATAGTGCGAGAAAGTTGGCTTAAAACAATTAAAACATGCTGCCATGTTTCTTTGTTTCAAATTGTTTTGTGAATTTGTATTTATCTTATTCTATTTGAATATGAAATGAGACATACTGGAATTCGTGATTTAGTGTGTGTGATGGTTTGTCGTTTACATTGACTTTTGTATCTGCTATTATTTGTAACAAATAACATCGCTCACGGGTGACTGTATTTTTTATATAGATATATGAGCTATATAGAAAACGTCTATTGGTAGTTGACAATAAACCAGTTATGTCGATTATAATGTTTTATAATACTCAATGTGTAGTGTGAATAAAGGACAAACGCAGCATACATTCTCATTTGTTAGTCTTGACTTCTTTTTGTTTGAGGACAAATCATAACCGTCCGATTGTGCATGTATAATCCTGGTATCTAGAGTTTCAGGATCTGTAGCTGTTTGGCTTAAGTCGCTCGTCTCGGGATTCGTTGGTCCTTTTACCTTAGTTAGGTCGAATTGGAGATCAAATATTTCCCCTTTTGTAGTGAATGTTTTTTTCAGTACAGAAACAGATCCCTGGGGAGTGATTTTGCTCTAGACATGTCTTTTCATTGTGTCCAAGTAATTTTATATTGCCATTTGTTCACAGTTATACGTGATTACGTTGATTAAGGTTAAAACAACACGGCCTATAATACCTTCAGCAACACATTTTTCATATTTGAAAACAAACCATTATGCTAACTATTATTCTGATAGCTGACGTTACTGACTCGGCAGACTATGACTTAATTAGTTGCTTTCAAAGCTTAAGATTGGAGACACCGTTCCTTTGCACTAGTTGCTTGACAAAGGAAAAAGACGTTTTCGAAGATCCCAAAATAAAGATCCAATTACTGTGTATGTTTAAAACAAAAAAGCATTTATTATTCATATCAAACTGATTCCTCTCATTCAAAATAAGAGAACGGAGAGCGTTTTTAAAAATGTAAGATGTTGTTATGCAAACAAAAGGACGAGAACGGGGAGAGTGAATTGTGATAATTTTAGCAGAAGTGTTGGTGTTTATGCAGGAAATAAGACGTTGTATTATCATCTACATACTATCGCATACCAGTAGCATGATAAATTCATTATCATCAGTAGTCAGAATGAGAATACTCAACAAGAAGTCAAGAAGGACCTGAGAACAACTTGAGAACGGTTTTTCCTATTTCCCGGCACTTGGGAACGTATTTTCGCAAAAAAAAAACCGTCTGCTCGCGCCAGGCGGCGTCCTAAACCGGAAATAGTATCCACACAAAAGTGATCCGCGTTAGAAAATAGTCCGTAATAAACAAATCAATATAAAGTTACGAAAAAAAATATCACACGCGGATTATTTCGAGTCCACCTGCGGAGGCCTCTCGTA